TAACTGTCTCTAGCCCTTTCTACTTTAATTAAGTTGACTTTGGTACAATTATTGTATTCTATACTTCTAAGAGTTTTCAAAATTCGACACATCACACACGCACGCACGCACGCACGCACACACACACACACACACACACACACACACACACACATACATACATACATACATACATACATACATACATACATACATACATACATACATACATACATACATACATACATACATACATACATACATACATACATACATACATACATACATATGCTGCAGCTGGGAACGACATCAAATGGTGCATAGTTCAAAAGATATTTGTTTGGGTTTTGTTTTATTGTTTTTTGCTTTTGGTGGGAGTTGTCCTTCCTATTTCTTAAGGTCAATGTCGTTGCTCTCGGAATATAAGCACTTGTGGTAATTAGTAAATTCATCTGAATATCAAGCGATGCAGCCTTATTTATTATCCATTAATTATCTGTCCATAGCTGTGTTGTAAATATTAAGACTAATTCAAAATAGAAACCACCCTGTTTCATCAAAGTAAACAGTCAGGAACTAATTTAACTGTTTAATTGAACAGGGGTAAAGTTTTCTCTGAATGTGGATGCATTTCTAACCAAGATTATAAACTTGGCATGGCTTGCTGCGTTGTTTGTTTTTTTTTTGTTTTGTTTTTTTTGGGGGGGTTGTTGTTTTTTTTTACATTATGTAGATGTTTAAACTTTCAATATAATATTTCAGTGGACAAAGTACATTGACTCTACCTCATATTTGGTGACAGTTGGAAAAAACAGCTTCATATGTGAACTCACTGTCAAACATATTGTCTAAAATATTGTTGTCAACCTCAACAAATTCTAATTTCTCGGTGGTAAATACTGTGACATAACGCTATGGTACTCAACTATTATACCCAGCAGCCATTTTCACCAAATATTAAAATTATGAAATATGTTTGACATTTATTAATATTTTAAATCAATACATCATTACTGACGGTTTAAAATGGACTGTTCTTGAATATTTCGAGCTGTGACGTCGGAAAGAACGAGTTGGCTACGTTGTAGGAATGTCTTTGAAGTTACGAATTGAAATGGTGAAGTTTTCTCGAAGGTTGGCATTTCTAAACATGATTTGAATATTGACATGACTCCCGGAATCTTTATTACTTTCTCTGAATTTTTCAAGAATTTATTTACTATTAAGATATTACTAGAAAACGTTACGGGGTTGTCATACAACTGTATTGGGCAATGGCGTTTGTACTTAATTCAGCCTTGTGCTAAAAATTAAACCATGATCTCATTGCCCATAATGCAGCAATATTGTTTTCGGACAAAGCCGCTTTCAACGCGTAATAAGACGAATGTTAGCAGTAATTTGAAATATATAAACAAACTATATATTCATCTGAAAAAGTAATTATTTAATATGCTTACCACTGAGCATTGTTGCTACGGCTCATGTACAAGCGATTGGAGGTGCCAGAAAGTTGTTTTTTTTTGGTTCATTGAATTTGGACACGATTTTCCAAAGCCCGACAAGGAAAAAGGTGTATATCACGGGTAAATCTTTACAACCGACGTGATTTTAGCATAAACAAATGTGACGAAGGATACATAGATATGTAGTCTGCACTAACTAAAGATATTGCCAAGCATAGGATACATCTTGAATGGTCCATTGAGAGAAATAAGAAATTTAGACTGTTACAGAAATCCCACTCAGTATTCATTCTGTCTTTTCTCAGTGTGTATTTATTATAGGTTGTTTAGCCAATTTTTAAAATCCTTTTGTGCAGTAATTACAATATAAGAAGTTTGTATTATTCTGAAATTCAACTTGCATATGCAGACAATAAAGTTATTTTAACATGTACTTTCCTGTTGTTTGTAAACTGTGTATCATTTTAAGGCTAGCTGTCATCGTTAGAGACAGCTGTTTTTGTATTACTTTTTCTATCAGCAAGGAAAATTATAATTGTTTGATTAAGAAAATGTATTATGCACATATCATAGCTATATGACATGAAAATAAACAGAAATTTTCTCTCATTTGTAACATTGTTTCCAATTTATACATGAGACTTAGAAAAAGGGTAATGAAATTTTTAATGCATATTACCAAAACAACCTACATGAAAATAAATCTTGATCAAATATCTTAAATATATATATATATATATATATATATATATATATATATATATATATATATATATATATATATATATATATATATATAAAGAATTATAAATATATACCAGACAGAACAGACTGTGCTATCCCTGGATTCTGTAGTAGAATCTTGATAATAGTGGGCAGAAATAATAGTTTAATACAAACAATACTATCATACAGGTTAGAGAAATTAAATTCGTACTCTACCGAGTTTCGAACCCAGATCCGCGAGTAAATGGCACCCATCGCCTTGCCTGCACGCACCAACCCATATACCGTCACGACTAAGCACGCATCACCAAAAAATGATGGCACTGAATTTCTCTAACCTGTATGATAGTATTGTTTGTATTAAACTATTATATCTGCCCACTATTATCAAGATTCTACTACAGAAT